TCTGGAATCAGTCGTTGCAAGATCCGTCGTAGCAGCAGTAGCTTTTGTTTTGATCCTAGTCCTAGTTGTAGTTAACTGGGCACCGGCGAGGTCCTAATCCTCTAATTGTAATATAGTGTCCGACTTTTTTTGTTTTTCCCGTGTGGTGAAATGTTTGCAGTAGATCAGCATCAGAATCAGATGCAGGCTTCAATCGTTAATATACATATTACATAGTCCAAATAGATTTGCTTCGATGCTCAGCTTTGCATGTGAATGATTTGTTCCGCAAAAATCCTTGCGTTATTGTCACTCTGTCAGTGCCCCAACTGTCACTCCCAGATTTTAAAATGACCAAATGTGAAGTGCCTTTGCTTATACCGTGCCACGGGAGATCTGGCGAGCAGAGGTACGGCACCCACAACAGGTTACGTCGGTGTTGTCAAATCTCTGTTGAAGCTGTAGCGAACGACTGACAGATCCGACGAAGATGGTTAAATGAGCTTCAAATCTCTCAAGAATATAGGACATAGTGATCAAATGTTTGAAAAATACCTATTTGAAAGTAGAAGAAACTTTGCATAAATCAGTTGAAATTTAGAAGGATGTCCAGGAAAACAGTGAGCACATCTAGAAGGCGGCAAGCCGGTGCGTCGGTGACCGTGGCACACCTGTTCTGTTCGGGTAGCGCAGGGCCTGCGGCCCAGTCCAACGAACCCGACCTCGCCTCACTTCACTCGGGAGTCCGGAGATCCGAACAGTTCGCTGCCGTCGCCTCCGCCACCGCGACACTACACACAAGCGCCGCCGCGGAAGGAGCAAGGGAAAAGAAGCGTCAGTACAGCACCCGCCGCACATACGCCGCGCGGCGGGGCCGGCGGCGCCATGGCCGAGCTGCGGCACGCCACGGCGGCGGCGGCGGCGACCCGCGCCACCAGCTCCCCTTCCAAGCACGACGCCGAGGCGGCGTCCGCGTCGTCGCCCTTGGTCGCGTCCCCCCGCGTCGGCGGCGGCGCTGGCGGCAAGGACGGGCTCCGCCCCCACCAGAGGTGGTCACTCCCGCCCCCAGTCCGCTCCCTCCTTGCGCTCGAGGACCCCAGGTCCCCCACCGCCTCCGCCTCCTACCGGATCCTGGTCGCTGCAATCGCCTGCTTCGCCCTCGCTGCGCTCTTCTCCGCGCCTTCCGTCTGGGCACGCCTCGTCAGTTCCTGGTTCCCTCATCGCTTCTTCCTCTCATATTCGTTACGTTTCATCGAGATCTCTAACTCGCTGCTTACGCTCGTGTTGGTGCTGGACCCCTAGAACGCGCCGTACCTGTGCCGCAAGGAGGGGATTCGGCTCCATTGCCCCAGGGTAAAGAGTAAAGAGGCCTTCACTTGAGCAATGCATTCAGGGGAACCTGATCGTGCATGCAATGTGATTGGAGCCTGAATGTGATTTTGTTTGGCTTGGTATTATTATGCTGTAGGTCAGCCAGCGGGACACTCTGTGGGAGAATCCTCATGCAGCAGCGACTTCGTGGAAGCCGTGTGCTGAGCGTCAGAGCCATGAGGTCTCAGGCAAGTACAAAATCAGAGTGTTCTGGCTAAAAAGTAGATGCTAATTGGGTGGTTGCTTTAGTTGCTAACTTCGTGGAAGCCGTTTGCTGCATTTATCACCCTGATTTGTTATTATTGACTTGGGTGTGAGCCATGATAGTTTTTCATTTGATGACATGCCACTCTTCGTCTGGAGTTACACTGGTTGGAGAAAATAACCATGGATAGCAATCTCTATAATGGCAGAGTAAATTTAAAGTAGAACAACGCCAAGAAAAAAAAGTTGCAAGTCGTAACCTCTTTGATTCCAATAATGCCTGTTAAAGATATGATGTTGTCACGCCAAGCATCTGTATAAAAGTTAATCTATCTGAATTCTGAAGCAAATTTGAGTCTAAATAGGCTCAACCAATTTGTTAGCACATCTTAAGCTTGTAGAGATAACTTAAGCACCTTATTCACCTTATAAGCACCTGCCAATTTTATTACCAAAGCACCATGTCTAAGGATCTCCATTGTACATGGCTATATGCCCTCTTAGGAAAGAATTTTTACTTTGCAAGTCATGATTTTTCAAATTGTGTTATTTCCTCATTATTGTTTTTTGTTTATCAATCTGGAACTTAGCACGAGACAAACATTCACTTGAAGCTATGGTTTGATCTTGACAACAACCAGTTTGATCTCTATTTTGCAGACCTCGTGTCAGAGAATGAAACTTCTGGGTTTATATTTATTCATGCTGAGGGTGGATTAAACCAGCAACGTATAGCTGTACGCATGTGCCTTTCACAATTTTTTCCTCTTTGAGTAGTTGCCTTGTAAAGAGTAAATTCCTGAGTTATTTCATTATTTAGATTAAAAATGGAAAATGTTGACCTAACTATTTTTTTTTCTACTTTATAATTTTTCTTTATGATGTTTCGTTCTTAATACTAGAGTTTCAGAAGATCATCATTCTGTTGCCAGAATTTTTGTCTTCATGTTATCTTTGTAGCATTGCACATTTATTAATTTTGTTGGGATATTTGATTTGTTTACAGATATGTAATGCTGTTGCAATTGCTAAGATAATGAATACCACACTTATTCTGCCAGTGCTAAAGCAGGACCAAATATGGAAAGATCAAACGTAAGTGATGAACTATGATTTCCTTTTAAACAACTTATGGTTATCCTATGTGTTCTCTTTTCGTGATTCCTGTACTAGTTGAGAACTTCTATCTCTTTGTGCAGGAAATTCGAAGACATTTTTGATGTAGACCATTTTATAAATTATCTGAAGGAGGATGTGCGCATTGTTCGAGATATTCCTGACTGGTTTACAGAAAAGGATGAGCTTTTCACTAGTATAAAGTTAGTTGCTTCATTTTCAGCTATCCATTGTGTCTTAACTGTTATCTACTGAATAGCTTGTTGCTAAAAATTACACACAGGATTTATACTGATATTGGTGATACTACTTTTTGTCATCAATATAAGCACTATGATTGTTAGTGAGGATTATTACACATCAACCACATGAACCAGAAGGGCAACCTGACTGGAAATTGCTGCTGGACTTGTATTGTTCACTTTTGTTTTTGCAAGAGTTATTATCCTTACACAAAGTTGTTTCAGCTAGAGATTGTGTTTGTAACTCTCACCTCTAAGGTTTTGTATGTTTGTTGTAACAGGCGCACTGTGAAAAATGTCCCAAAGTATGCATCAGCACAATTTTATATTGACAATGTGCTTCCAAGGATCAAAGAGAAAAAGATAATGTCTATCAAGCCGTTTGTTGATAGGTTAGGGTAAGTGTATCACAGCATCAAGATGGCAATATAAGTAAACCATTGTCTTACCCTTGAGATACATCTTTAGATGTGTTAGTTATGTATAAGCATTCCGTTTCAGATATGATAATGTTCCAATGGAGATTAACCGACTGAGGTGCCGAGTTAATTATCATGCTTTGAAGTTTCTACCTGACATTGAAGATATGGCTGACAAGCTAGCAACAAGGATGAGGAACCGAACAGGAAGTTTAAATCCATACATGTAAGCTTAGTTCGCTCTCGTCTATTAAGAGTCGGCAGTCTGCAGTTGACAAATTGATATCTCATACTCCATTATACCTGCATCCAAAGGGCTCTTCATTTGCGATTTGAGAAAGGAATGGTGGGCCTTTCATTTTGTGATTTTGCTGGAACTAGGGAGGAGAAAGCCATGATGGCTACTTACAGACAGCAACAATGGCCAAGGCGGTACAAGGTGATGTCAATTTTCATTTTTCCTTACATTTTATGAAAGAATGGCGAGTCTTTCTTTAGTGGAGAATGCACTATTTGAATATACTGTTCTCTTGTTGCTTGCAGAATGGATCTCACTTATGGTCATTAGCACTAGAAAAGAGAAAAGAAGGCCGCTGCCCGCTTGAGCCTGGGGAAATAGGAATTATTTTGCGTGCGATGGGGTATACGAAGGAAACTCAGATATATGTTGCATCAGGGCAGGTGTATGGCGGAAACAACAGAATGGCACCCTTGAGGAATATGTTCCCCAATCTGGTAGGTGCTTCTGATGTTTACTTTATCTAGCAGGTCTTCCTTTTCCTGCCTTTGCTATTTCAAATATAGCCAGAATGCAAAAGATTCTCAAAGGAATATGTATAATTGAGATAGCTACCTTCTTGTTACCAATATTTATAGAATTTTCCCAAGAAACAGCTAACCAAGGTACATACAACTGACCTAGCCTTTGGTAATTGCAGGTTAGCAAAGAAGATCTTGCAAGCAAGGAGGAGATGGAGCCTTTCAAGAAGCATGTAACCAGCCTTGCTGCGCTGGACTTCCTGGTATGCCTGAAGTCAGATGTGTTCGTCATGACCCACGGTGGCAATTTCGCCAAGCTGATCATCGGCTACCGTCGCTACATGGGCCGCCACAGGCTCAAGTCAATCAAGCCAGACAAGGGTCTCATGTCCAAGTTCTTCGGTGACCCTTACATGCCTTGGGCGACTTTCGTGGAGGACGTGATGATCACCCATCAGACACGGACCGGCCTCCCCGAACCCACGTTCCCGCACTATGACCTATGGGAGAACCCTCTCACCCCTTGCATGTGTAGAGCTTAAGTTATAGACTACGAGTGATGGTGCATAGTTATTCTTTATTTATAGGCTGATATGCAAACTGCAAATTTTGTGTATTTTTTATTTACCACTTTTGATGTACAATTTTTAACAAAGCAAAGCTCAGTTCATGCAGAATCCTCTGCTATCTTTCCCCTGAAAATTTTCTTGATGCGTAAATATATAATCTGATGTAGTCACCTGTAAATAAGTCACGCCTGCAAATTATAGACTACTATTGCTTGGTTTTGACAATAACTCACGCCTGTAAATACAGTGTCAGCCGGAGCAGCAGAAGCGCCACTTGCTGCCGCCGCCGCTATGCTGGCCGTCGTGCAGGATCATTCCTGCGGGACGATTAGGCCTCAACTTCACCAGCCTTTCAGCTGGCAATGCACAAGCACAGACACGGTTAGGTGGTGACCGACACGACAGCATAACAATTCACAAAACTGAAGCTGAGACAGCAAGCGCTTGCCAAGCTCGTAGAATAGCTCGCTGACGTTCTGCGCTGTCTTGGCCGAGGTCTCTGTGAAGAACAGGCCGTTTGCTTCCGCGTAGTCCATGGCTTCCTGAAGGAGAAAGGATCGCGGACCAGGTTATTCAGCAACACGCTAAGGAGAAGGGATTGCAGGGATATACAGTTGTGCGTACCTGAGTCCCAACCTGCCGCCTTTCTTGCAAATCGACCTTGTTGCCCACTAATGCCATCACCAGATGCGGATTCCCTATTTTTGATCAACATGTGCAACAAGCCAACAACAGCAACTCTTGGAGCCGATTTGGAGAACTACTGAAAATATAAAATTGATGAAATGAAATGTAGCCATGTACTGCCAAGTACTCACTACCTTGTCTCTGAAGCTCGTCCACCCATCTCTTTGCTCGCACGTACGAGTCCTGCACGACCCGATCGAATCAGAGCAGGAGCCTTTCAGCTTATCAATCAGGTGTGCAGTGCAGTGCAGTTGCCACTTTGCAAATCGACCGACGACGATGTTTAGTCGGAAGCAGGCATCTGAGTTCGAGCGAGGTCGGTCAGTCGTCAGCAGACACCTACCGTGCTCGTGATGTCGAAGACGACGACGGCCGCGGCGGCGCCGCGGTAGTACATAGGGGCGAGGCTGTGGTAGCGCTCCTGGCCGGCGGTGTCCCAGATGTCGAGCTTCACGGTGGCCTCGTCCAGGGCCAGCACCTGCGAGAAGAAGGCGGCTCCGATCGTCGACTCCTGGAAACTAACACGTCAGAATATATAAAAACGAGATCGGGAAAACCAAACCACAAGTATCGTAGCATGCATCACGAGGCATGTGGTGCGTGCCTGGCACTCGTAGTAGAGCCCTTTGGCGAACCGAACGACAATGCTCGTCTTCCCGGCGCCCAGGTCCCCGAGAAGCACCTGCAAACAAAATCCATGGCGCTGTGTTAGCGAGCGAGAGTGCCGTGCGTGCGCGCAAGTCCTGCATGCATATTGCATGCCTAGTGTATGTGTGTGTATTGCACATTTGCACCCACCAGCTTGGCCTGGATGATGGCGCTGCTCCCCATTGACGACGAACGTGCCCGCCCGGGCGGGAGGCAGATGATATGAGCGGAAAGGTTGTTGCATTTGCATCTGTTCAGCACGTAGGTGATACATAGACGCACTAGGTGATCGAGCATGACGAGCCGGTAGGTGCAGTGGGCTTCTGAGTTCTGACCGTTAGTTAGGTTCTGTCTTTTAGGATGATTACAAATTACGTTCTTTTTTCTTGGCTTCTGGGATTGTTAAATCTTTTAAGTGTTTGTGTCATGTAATAAATTAGGTCTAATTCCTCATAAGTCACCAGTGCTATCCAAATCGATCACTTGCCGTCTAGCGGTTATTCAGGCTAAAGGGACACTTAATAAACGGAATAAACCGGCATTTAAAAAATAGAATAAATAATCAATTAAAAAACATGCTAAACAACCATTTATGCGAATAAGAGGGATGAACCTGGATCTTCTTACGTTATCTAAAAAAGTTAGGTTCGGGGCAGGTTCAACTGAGGCTGGGCGCACCGCACACGAGTCATTCCACCGTGTAATATGGCACGCACGAGTCATTCCTCCATAGTGTAGGGATACCCTTGAAAGACTGCCGACGATATTCCGTCGACAGTTGGCGCGCCAGGTAGGGGCTGTGCGTGCTGTTTCCATGACGAACAAGATGGTACATTTTGCAGGCTCTTCGTCCTCTTCAAAGCCTGGCCAGATCTTTACGGTCGGATCGATCTCCTGAGTCATCAATGCTGACGGAGACGGAGAGATCATCAAGCCGGTGCAGATCGATTCCGCGCCAACCACGCCAACACCTGCAACAGCAGATCCGATCTCGGAACCGCCTCCGAGGTCGTCTTCACCAACAACTCGTCGTCTGCTCCCCCGCTACCCGAGGAAGCAGATTGGCAACGATGATCTGATTGCATCCATCGATCAGGTCGGCCAGAAGCTCGTTGATTGCCTCTTCCTTGCGGAATCGGCTCTGACCACCCTGGTCCAGCGCCGACCACCCTTTGATTCCGATCTATCGGAGGCCAATCAGGAAACTCCAGGGGTTACGTCCACAATCCATCAGGATGCCCTGAGGGACAAATTCGCCGACCAGGTGGGAGACATCTATCCTCTCGCCGACCCGATCGCCGACCAGCTCTCGCCGACTGTCAATATGCTGCAAATCGGCCAACGTCCCAAAGAATCCCTCCACACCATCCTGGAGGAAAATCCAGACACTGAGTCCCAGGGCTCTATGGAGATTGTTGTCAAAACCGCCGCCGTCCAACCTTCTTTTCCACCCTTCCATGGAGGTGGGATTTTTAATGTCAGCATCGACAGCCCTCCGTGGGATGGAGAAACCGACGAGGGCCGCGTAGCTCGTGTCAACAGAAATGCCAACCGTGCGCAGCGCCGGGCGAATGAGGCTGCCATTGTGTTAGCCGAGGCTGCTCGCAACGAAGAACAACTCGACTCGCAAGGAAGGCCACGCCCACTCCACCGCAACCTCGACGACGAATTCATCCGTGTTGACGACCACGATGTCGACAAGACCCCAAGCGCCAACTTGGCCGTGGCCGCTAACGAGCTCGCTCGGCTCGAACAAACACCGGAGGTCGCCAAGGTCACCGCAATGCTTAAAGCTACGCACTGCTAGGTCAACGAGATCTGCCAGGATCAGGGACCTTCATACTCGACAAGCTCGAATCGCCGATCCACCGCGCCAAGATCCAATCGCCTCCCTGGTAGAAGCCGTTTTGCCGACCAACATCGTGACGATGGATGACCCCTCCAAGGGGGAGCTAGGGGGAACCGTATCAACTACCCTCACCAACTCAACCAAGAAGTCGATCAAGATGTCCGAGCGCACATCAACAACCTCCGGGATGCACGACGTCATATTAACGGGCGCTGTTTCTCTCGGCATGAAGAGGAAGTACGCCGGCATAAAAAATACGAGCAAGAATTCAGCAATCCGGATGCAGACCTCCAGCCACTCAATGCCGGCAATGCCACCGATCCCGACGGTGACGATCCCGAAGGGCCCCGAGCATTCACGAGAGCACTCCGAACACTCTAGTGGCCCCTTGGTTTCAAAATCACCGGGGTCGATCCCTACGAGGGATGGATGAACCCCACACAGTGGCTACAAGCTTATGCCACCGCTGTGCGTGATGCCGGGTGAGATACCAGTGTCATGGTGAATTATCTTCCCGTCATGCTCATGCCGACCGCAATAAACTGGCTCACGAGCCTCGCCCCAGATTCCATCGAATCTTGGGAACAGTTGAAGAAGGTCTTCACCGAAAATTACATGGCTACGTGTACTCGGCTGGGCATCAAGCACGATTTGAATCGTATTTATCAGAAACCGTCCGAGCTTCTCTGTAGCTACATCAGACGATTTTTCGTGATGAGGAATTCTATTCCCAACATCACGAAAGCAGAAGTCATCACCGCCTTTGTCAGAGGACTCCATCACCGCGACCTCCGCTCCAAATTCAATTGTAAGCCGCCAAAGGGGATTGGTGAGATGATCACGACCGCCGATCAGTACGCCGACGCTGAAGAGGCCGAAGTTTGCTTCAACGAGGATGCGGCCACTCACTGCCCAACTCACCGCAGCGACGAGCACCCCGACGTACGACGCCACAGTGATCGCCGCTATGACGACCACGGCCACCATCAGGACAGTGGCCGCGATCGGCCAGAAGGGTCTAAAGCTGGCCAGTATCGCCGCCGCCGACCAGACAACATCGTCGCCGCCGTTGACGAACCTCGCGCCAAACATAACTACGACGAGCAGTACAAGAAAATCCTCGAAGACCCATGCCCCCTCCACAAGAACAACAAGCACAAGACGAAGGACTACATTGGCTTGGCTAAGGAGTTCTAGGCAAAAAAGAAGGACGACGACGACGATGGAGCCAGAGGTCGCCGACCATCAGGGGACAACAATAACGCCTTCTAGGATCACGACAAAGTGGTCGCCACTATCTTCGGGGGGCCCGCCGTCGTCGAGAACATAAGAGATCAAAAATTCACCGCTCGTCAGGTGCTCGTCGTCAACACAGAAGACACTATCACCGACCCCAGTTATCGCCCCTGGTCTGAGATCCCCATCACCTTCAGCAGGGCCAACCAGTGGGCGGACATCCCTTACATAGGGCGTTTCCCCCTCGTTCTCGATGCAACCGTCAAGAAAGTACTCTTCAGGAAAGTACTCATCGACGGCGGAAGTGCCCTGAACCTGCTCTTCGCCGGAGCCCTAAAGGAGTTGGGCCTTGGAATAGAAGACCTCACTCCCTTCGAATCCTCCTTCTAGGGGGTGGTACCTGGCAGGGTGTCACGACCACTTGGAGAGATCACCCTCCCGGTACAATTCAGCATGGCTAGCAACTTCCATGTCGAGCACATCAACTTCTACGTCGCCAATTTCAAGACCGCCTACCACGTCATACTTGGTCGGCCAGCTCTGGCTAAGTTCATGGCCATACTGCACTACGCCTATTTGGTATTGAAGATGCCCGCGCCTGCAGGAGTTCTGGCTCTGTGGGCCAACCTGAAAGGACCTAGGATGCCGCCTAGAGGGGGGTGAACAGGCGTTTCTGATAATTAACACCTTTAAAAGCAGAAACGATTTAGTAATGGGAGTTTCCAAGTGGAAACTCCAAATCAAAGTAATACAACCCCTCACAAGTTAGCCAACGAGTAAATAAACAATATTAAATAATCCTAGGAGCCTAGAACCTGCAGCGCAAGAGTTAGAACATGGATCAAATAAATTTGGCACTGAGCTCTAATACCGGACGAGTCCGGTATACACGGTTTCTACAGAACAGCCCCAAACTTGCTCCTTTCGATTTCTATCTTCAAACCAAACTGCAGGTATCTACTAGAGATGACAAGATACACAGAGAACCTGCACAAGAGCTGGAGCAACACAAATATCAAATGAAATGTGAATTGAGACATGAGATTTGTTTTATCGAAGTTCGGACTCGTTCGAGTCCTACTCTCCGTTGAGGGGGCTACGGGCGACCCAACGAAGGCCAGCCCTAGAGGGTACCACGAAGGTCACTCTAGGCAGAGTCTTTTCCAACTCCTTTTCCTCCTTCCACTAGTTGATTCCGAGGCGGTAGAATCGACCGTTACAAACTTTCTGAGGCACACCACAATCTCTCGGGTGCTCTCCGGCGACGCCTAGCCGTCTAGGACCGAAGAGTCCAAGAGTAACAAATGCAAATCACAAAATAGACAATATGCACAAGTGCTCAAGTGGTTGGATTGCTCTCTTTTTGAATTTCTCTCTACCCACTAATGGATTTGGCAATTTGGATCACACACTCACTAAGAGAGGGTTTGAGAGAGTTGGCAAGGCTAAAAAATGTGTATTGCAACCAGCAGAATCAGCAGCCTCCAAAGGTGGAGGCTTGGGGGTATTTATAGCCCCTTTGAAATACTAGCCATTATACTAGCCGTTGTCATACCGGACACGTCCGGTATGACTTGCACTGCGCCAACGGTAACTGAAATAAAGTATGTGAGGTGTCGGAACTCCCGATGAATGCCGGAACTCCCGACCCTCAGCTCATTTGAAAACTAGCCGTTGGGCTCTGGCCTACTATACCGGACACGTCCGGTGTGACCAGGCAGTCAACTCTCCAAGTTAGTTAAGCGTGACACATCGGAACTCCTGATGATTGCCGGAACTCCCGACCGTCGGAACTCCCGACGAACCAACCCGAGAACACCAAGAATTTTACCGTGGCTGGACGAATACCGGACGAGACCAGCGAAAAACAAGTTAGCTCTTTTGACTCTCAAACACTCAAAACTCGCATGGGTTGGCATGAGCACTTATGAATGATTATCTATCAACATGATGCATCCCTCTTAATAGTACGACATACCTATTAAACTCAAGATCAGAAGAAAAAACAAATTTATACCGCTTGAGTTGATCTCTTTTGAATTGATGCCGTCTCTTTCAATCTTCATCAAGTAAGGGTGCCAACATGTTGATATTGATC